TATACCAATTATACAAATGTAATGTACAACCATTTATGGACATTAATGTAATATGCAACCATATACTATAATAATAACTAATGCATTTATAAGAAAGAAAGACATGCCAAAAAGATGTGAAAGCGAAACACTAAGAGAGGTGTCTATAANATATACGAATTATACAAATGTAATGTACAACCATTTATGGACATTAATGTAATATGCAACCAAATACTATAATAATAACTAATGCATTTATAGGAAAGAAAGACATGCCAAAAAGATGTGAAAGCGAAACACTAAGAGAGGTGTCTATAACAACTTTCTTGTTAAAAGAATCTTTGAATAATCCTATTTGACAACAACCAAATCACAAAATATATTCTCGAGCATTGGTCGTTTGGTAAAAACAATCACAATTTTTTTAGAAATTCATGGATTATTTAGATTTATGTGAATGAAGGATTTGTGTACTAATGTCTAAATAATATCTTGAGACACTACCAAGACACAACCTTTTATGTAGAGGTCAAGTATTGTCCCGACTATGGAAGGACAAGCGGCAAAAATTATTAGTTGACATAACAGTGGGGTCTAACAACGTCCAGCAGGATAGGTGTGGATCATAAGGCCGCAACAGGCAACACAGTGACATGATAGCAACCAGGGTCGCGACAGGCATCCAGTGCCACAACAACACGCCAATTCTACAATAGGCTCCCTATGCCATAAGAGGCGTTTGGTACCATAGGAAGAATCAAGTACTATACAAAGGCGGAACATATCCCATCACGTTGAGAGTGGAAAAATGGACATTTGACCAAGGACAGACAAAAGTGGCACTGTAGAAGTCTAGGGGCAACCTTGACATGACTCGTCCCTCCCACTATAGAAAACAAGGCACAAGGTTGGGATTGCATAACTGACGGAATTGATATCCTTAACTTATTAAACATCATTATTCAATTGGCTTAGTGGACTGGGATAAGAGGTCCCCACCTAGGAAGAGGGCAGTATGTCCCTCCTTGATGAAGAATTGAGCAACGGAAAAGGACGAACATGATTGCCAACCTCGGCTTGGGGTAAGGTCTCAAAGATTTAGTCTTCTTAAGCAAACCTTCCAGTGTATGATTCATTGTCATATGGGACGTGTTTGATTGGGATCTGAAAGGACTCCTAAGATAACGGGGATAATAAGACATGTGGATTGGTGACTAAAGGACCTAAACTATGTGTGTTTTCTCTATCGGGACAACTTGACAAAAATCTCGATAAGGGGTTTAGAGAGGAAAGAGAGGACCCTGAATAGGAGCGCGCTAGGGATATTGCGCATGTGGCCATTTTGAGGTCATGGTTTTGCGGTGACCAATTGTGATCATTAACCGTGAGAACTCCCTTTCGGCTCGGCTAGGGACCACGTCTAGGTTGTATTTGCAGAAACATCACATTTGCACAATTAATATTGGGACACGTGGTTCGCGATTAGGGGCCACTAGTATAGTCGTGGTTGACACAATTATAGGATAGCGCGAGTGTCATAAAGGTCGCGGGGGAGCATCCTTTTAGGCAGGCTGACTTGTTTGGGCATTGTGTTGTAAATAGCTACATTACGAAGCAAATGATGGATGAATAATGCATGGAATTAACCTCGACAAGGCTTTCAATTACCAAGATATTACAAGATTATGGAATAAGATCTTGAAAATCATCAATAGGGCGAAGGTCTTCTTGAAGGATTGTTATTAGACGACATAAATGATGACGGTCAAAGTGGTTGAAACAAGCATATTGGTATATTGTTTGCCTAGCCCCTTGAATTATGAGTTCAAAGTTATTTATTTTCTTTGTAATCTGTTTACTTAGTCTTTGTGAGATGTTTTATATTTTTTTAGACTAGGCTGAGAGTTACCATGTATGGCCTTGGAGCGTGCGTCAAGCCTCACTGGTTGATTACATTTATTTGTACTCTTTATTCTCTCAACATTTTAATTAGCAAAAATAATTAAAAAAAAATATTGCCCTAACTACCCCGATAAAGACCATATAATCTCTACTGTAATTGTCCTTTGTAATATATGAGCTTTGTAAGACGTTGCTTCTTTTCCTTCTCTTCCTTTTCACTCTCAATTTAAGCTGTAAAACTATGCTATTCAAAAATTTCTTTTCAAAGGATACAGTTAAATCTTAACCATTCAATATTATTCTGCCTTGCTTATGTGTTGGTGTTGTTAATGACACAAATCTCCGTTCTCTGTCCACCTCAGTCTCTCCCTTTCTGCCATGTATAATCTTTTTCTATCTCAAAATTGTTTAATGCATCATCACAGACCAACCTAGAAAAAAACTCAGTAAGAGGATAGTAGGAGTTCAAAAATATGACTTAGTTGTTTTTGAGGATAGAGAAATTGGTGAGAGAGAGGGGGAATGTTTGAGGATGCACATGTGGTGCTAACGTCCATAGAAGAGTAAGTAGGTTTTCTCTTGGATTGACTGGGAAAAGCTAAGTTTGGTCCAAGAATGTGGGAGATGAAAACTTCTTTTTTATTGTGTTTGGATATATTTTTATTTGTAGGTCTGTGGCGAGAAATATCATAAAGTGATAAACAAGGCAGCGCTAAACAATTTAGGGCCAAGCGACAAATATAAATGAGGTCTTTTTACTTTATAATATTAATAAAAAGTCAGCTAAAATGTGTTTTTTTTCACTTTTTGTGATGCAAAAGTACTATTTAAATTTTTATAATGAGGTTTTGTTAATATAATCGCTAATTTATTTAATTTTTCTTGTGTCATAGTTGATTTTAAATAAAATTTTATTAATTTTATTTTAAATAATTTTCTCCAGCAGAAGCAGTTGTTATAAAAATTGTCAATAATATTTGATAAATAATGAATGCATTTAAAAAAGAAATTAATTTTTTTATATAATTTAATATCTCAATTATAATATATTTTTTATGGACTTAACTTTCAAGGCTTTTGTGGGCCTTATGTTCTTTAAGATTTAGGCTCCCTTATTTGAACTAACCACACACCTAAATATTTTAGGACCTTCCATGAGGATGAGGCCTAAAGTAAAGACTTTGTTGACCTTGCTATTGAATTGGCTCGGGTGATAAACTCCTTTACTATTCTTGTTATTAAAGTGGAAGTATTGAGATATATGTTTGTATGTCCAATTTATTTTAATTAATTTTGAGTTGTATAAGAACTGCTATATTCTATTTGGCATTGTCCTATGCTATATTTCTCTACCATTTATATTTTCTCTAGCAAGTTCTAGTAATAATCTTTTGGGAACATTGCACAAACTACAATGGAAATGAGCATGTAATAAAGATGTTTATGATTTTAGTTGTATATATTAGTTGACTAGTCATATTATGTTAACGAAATCAATATTAAATAACTTTTGGCCAAATTTTGTTAAAGTCAATAGAAAATAAAACAATGAAAGAGGAAAAAAATNTCCTACACTTTTTTTTAATAATAATAAAAAAGGTTACCATTAAATTTTGAAAAACGAACTTACCCAAAAAAAAATTTATTTAATAATTTTTTAATAAATAAACTTACCCAAAAAAACTTTTGATAAATAAATTGTTCTATCTGTTTAGGTACACATGATGAAACAATTTATTCAGCAAATCACCAATAATATTATTATTAAGAATTAATTTATTGATATAATTTATTTACCTAATAGTGAGTCTTGATGAATACTAGAATTCATTCTCCGTCTAATAAGAATGACTAATTATGTCAATAAATTAGCAGATTTTAACAAATACAAGAACTATCCATCAGATAATTATATCAATACATTAGATATAAATATTAGGAAAAGTTTTAGTTAGGCTCCTTCAAATTTACTATATTTTAAAGGACACCCTTCTATTTTAAAAAATATCAGTGATATCTCTTATAATTTATAATTAAATATCATTGACACTCTCTGTCATTAAACCACGATTTATAACAAAAAAAATCATCTAAATACTAAAAATGTCTCTATATAAACCCCAAATAATCTTTATACATATAATTCGATTAAAATTAGAATCAATTAAAATTAATTTTTCTACACATTAAAATTTTAGTCGATTAAAATTTATTTTTTATATATTAAAATTTGAGCCGATTAAGAATCGATTCGAGCTGTNTTAGTCGATTAAAATTTATTTTTTATATATTAAAATTTGAGCCGATTAAGAATCGATTCGAGCTGTTTAAATTTTTTTTTTTTTTTACGTTTTAAAATTTGAGCCTATTAATTTTTTTTATGTATTAAAATTCGAGTTGATTTGAGTTCAACTTGAACTGTTAATGCTAATTTAAATTTCGTTTCAAGTCGATTAAAATCTATGTTAATTAAAATTTGACTTGATTATAAGTTATATTTTTTATGTATCATTATTTGGGTCGATTAAAATTCAATGTGAATTGATTAAAATTTGATTTGAGTCGATTAAAAATTTGTTTGAATAAAATTTTAATACTTACAAAAATATAATTTTTAATTGATTTAAATTTTAATAAAAAATAAATTTTAATTAGTTTGAATCAAATTTTAATCAATTTGAATTTTAATACGTAAAAAATTTAAAAAATAGAGGAGATTCATTGAAGATATGCCTATGTATATGGAGTATGGATAGAGTTTTTTTCTCAAATATATGATGAATAATTTAGTAAAATTGTATTATAATTAACACTTTTAATTTGATGGAGTGTCGGTGTCGGTTCAAAAAATAAAGAGATTCAAAAAATAAAGAGAATGTACTTGATGAACGTGACTCAAATTTTTCCTAAATATTATTACCAGTAAATTGCACCCCATAATTTTTTCTTGAGAAGGTGGGACCCAGTGTTTGCCAGCATGTCGGTTCGGTTTGGCGCCAATTTTCACTTGTTCACTGTCAGTGTCTTTGTATTTGTCGCTCGTCACGTCATCGTCGCCATCTTCTTTCTGCTCAAAACCCTAGTTATTCTTCTGGCGATCACAATCCTCTTCTCCAATGGACGAACCTCGGCCCAAACGGCCCAAAATCTCCAGGTCTGTACCAATCTTTATCTATCTCCGTCTAATTCATCTTTTCACGCTATTAATCCTACGATTTCCCCATTTTCGTACTGTTCAATTCTAGGGTTTACAACAACTTGTTCAGTAATTTAACTGCCCTTTTTTTTTATTCTTTAGGAATAAACAACAAACTTTGTTTTTGGTTGGTTAGTTTTTTTGCTACCCTCTGTTTGTTAACCGAGAAAAATTGAGGACAATGGGAGAATTAAATTTTCAATCTTTATATCTTTTTTTTCCCTTTCATCTTGATCATTGGGTGAACACCTGTTTTATTGGAGCTTTGGTCTTTCAGCCTTCAGTTTCAATTAACTCTCTCCGTCTAGTTCATCTTTTACGTTATTCCTCCTACAATTTCCCCATCTTCATAGTGTTCAATTCTAGGGTTCACAATAGCTTGTTCAGTGTTTTGGCTGTCCTTTTTTATTCTTTAGGAATAAAACCATGGGTTAATTTTTTGTTACCCTGCTTGTTAACCGAGAAAATTGAAGGACAGTGAGAGAATAAAATCTTGAATCTTTATGGGTTTGTGGTGACTTTGTTTCATCTTGATAATTGGGTGAACATCTGTTCTATTGGAACATTGGCGTTTCAGTCCTGTTTCTTCTTTCTTTTTATATTTTTGGATACTTCCTCTTAGAAGGACATTCAAGTTTTGATCTTCACATTAGACGAGGTTTCCTTGTTGGGCAAGATCCTTTTTCATGGGTCTAAAAGAAAAATTAAAGATTGGAAGGTTTTTTTTTTTTGGGAGAGAAAAAGATTCTAAGTTTGATTGGGCATCTTTCTACAAATTTTCAATGACTTTATATTTTAATGCTTTCTTTCTTTTTTCTTATCGTTCTGTAGAGGGGAAGATGATTATTTGCCGGGAAATATAACTGAGATTGAGCTTCATAACTTTATGACATTTGATAACTTGACATGTAGACCGGGCCCGCGATTAAACCTTGTGATTGGACCGAATGGGTCCGGTAAGAGTTCTCTTGTGTGTGCCATTGCCCTTGGTCTTGGGGGTGACCCTCAGGTTAGTGAAGACCAGCATCATTGTTGATGCATGTAGTTTTATTTTGGTTTGATTGTTCAAACAAATACTCTGCAGCTGCTTGGGAGGGCTTCAAGTATTGGAGCATATGTGAAGCGCGGAGAGGAATCTGGGCATATTAAGATTTCTTTAAGAGGGGAAACTGAGGAGAAAATTACCATTACACGAAAGATAGATACATGTAACAAGTCGGAGTGGCTATTAAATGGTAAGATTGGTATTCCATGCTTGGTGGCTGTCCATTGTGTGATCTAAAGTTTCTCATGGATTATGGTCTTTTTGATCACCAATAAATATTCCAAGTGGTTGGTTGATGATTATTTGGGACTTGACATAGTGCCTCCCTTCATTTCTTTTTTATGCTTGATAAATGGTTTTATTCAGATAGCATCTTTTCACATGGCATGGATTAGTCCATAAGGACTACTAGATCTGTTTTCTTAGGTGGGTATCAGTTCATTGGTGGTCGTCTCAAAAACTTCTGGCTTCTGAAGCACATATCTATATGGATATGATTGATTTGATTTTGCACTTTCTTCTCTTTCTAGGCAAATCCCATTACGACATTTTCACAATTTGGGGTAGCTTTCTATCTATCTGCTTATGTGTCTGTATACATCTAACTATGCCACTATATCCTGCATCATAACTCTAGTCTTGAATGCTTGTGCACCTGTATAATGTTAGTGGGATATGTTGAAACAATTCGTATGTCTGATAAGTGTACTGCTGCTAATTATTGTGTGGGGTACTTTGGTTTTAGGCAACGCTGTGCCAAAGAAAGATGTAATTGAAATGATTCAAAGATTCAACATCCAAGTCAACAATCTGACTCAAGTAAGTTCATGGATGTTTTTCTCGAAAATTGAAATGTTGACAGTTAGCTTGCTATGTGTAGATTGTGTATCGATAGTGCAATATTAGAACTCTTTTAATTACCATAAACAAATGCTCAGTTACATGGACAACTTGCAGTTACTAAAATTACATGGAGATGCTTTATTGGAGTTTCTAAGTTAAATTCAGTAATAAAATTACTACATCCGGTATTCTGATATTAAAAGATGAAATTGGGACAGTTGACCTCCTTGTCCATTTTTCCCTTGATTGACCCGACGAAAGGAATTTATAAACCAACAAAAATATGGGCGAATGTGGCATAAAAATTTATATTTTGCTGATGTCATCATGAAAACTCAAGGGCATTTATTTTGTCTTCTCAAATCTTAGGGGATGCCAATTTAATTTACTCATTGGTTTATGCTTGGTGAATTAACCGTTTATTAAGTCAAACCAACTGTGTAGGTTCCGTGTGATAACCAATGACTAATTGGCAGGTGTCCAATCAAATATCGTGTCGAAAAAGATGGTCAAGTAATTTGTTTCTCCAATGAGAGAAGTATAACACCAAAAACTTGTTCAATTGTTACAGAAAAAAACTCACATCCTTCCTTCATCCAAGTGATGAGGAAAGAGCAATCTGCGTCAACAGTTAAATTCCTTAATTTCACACAACAAGCTTTGCTGAGCTCTTCAGGGAAAACCAAATCAATTGGATCTGTTTTTGTATGTTTGGAACACAAGGGAATAGTGTTTCCAACTCCCAAAATGGAAAGCCACAGTGACAATCATCAAAGTTTTTTCTGCATCTCGTGTGATGGAGGACTCCAATACAATAGAGCTGGGAACTATGCATTTGGAGGATACAGTATAAAGGAATATCACAAAAATTATAATTCAAATAAAATCTCATTACCTTTTTAGTATGATCTACCGGAAATTTTAAGAAAACCATTTATCAAACCATTTGTTTCGTAAAGCTCTTCAGAAATCCTCCCCATACCATCCTGATTATGTCAAACATGGTGCAACCTGGAACTGGTTTTAGCCGCAAATTACTCAACCAGCTTGTACTCTGGTAATATAATTGTCAGGAATTCCAGCACTTGTCTACCCCCGAATCACCTGGATTAAGTCAAACCTGGTACTAGTTAGAAGTGGTTTTGATAACAAATGGTACAACGAGCTTGTACTCTGGTGGTTAGTGTACTTTGATGTCGAGTGACTGATCTGGGACCTTGACTTCATGGATATTGGTGCAGTTTTTTGTGGTAAAAGGCAAAAGAAGTGAACAAATGTAAATCCTTTTACATTCTTCAGGGGCAGAAGTCAGTTGCATCTTGTTGGAGAATAAAGGTCTTAAAGACAGTTTTTATAGAAATCATGTTTTGTCAACCTAAACATTTATTTGAATGAGCCTTTCTTTCTCACTATGAAGTTATATCATCTCCATCTGATGTTAATAACTCTACCTTATCTGAAAGATGCTCTAAATTATACTTTTGAGCTTGGTAAAATTGAGACACTGCTTTCATTGATCCAATGCTGTTCTATATAAGTCAGTTATTTGGCATGAAAGCGAAGCACATTAAGAATACTAACCCCAACTGCAACTTTTACAAATCACAGTTTTTTATGAAAGGTATGGAAGGGGTGGAAGACTTCTTATTCTTACATATGGATTCTGTGCCATAGCTTTCATCTTCAATGATCCTCTGCCATATATTTTACCATCAAGTTCATACTCATTACATACAGTTCCTTCATTTTTTAATAATGTTCGAGTACATATGTATTCTTGTAAACCAGGTATCTTATTCTTTGTTCTCAAGCATTACCAGTCCCTTCTCTTTCCTTCTCGTGATTGTATTTTTGCATCACATTATTAATGGTACTATTTATGGAACTTCAAATGAACTAATTTCTGGCGATTTGTGGTTTTTGTTCACATGAGAATCTTCGTCTTAATATTCTTTCCCTTTTTTTTTTTTTAATTTTTTTCCTGGAGAGGACCTTAGTTTTTACCACAAGACAGGGTCTGTGAATTTGCTAAGTTAACTCCAGTGCAACTTTTGGAAGAGACTGAAAAGGCCACAGGTGATCCCCAGTTGTCCATCCAGCATTGCACTCTTGTTGATAAAAGTAGGAAACTGAAGGATCTTGAACGAGTGAGTTTATACATTCACCCTTAACCTGGACATGGTTTTCATAATTGCTGTAAAACATTTTACTGATTTGTAACTAGTTTGGTATTAGGTTGTCGAGACAAACAGAAAATCTTTGGATCAGCTGAAGGCATTAAATGCTGAGCAAGAAAGAGATGTTGAGCGGGTTCGTCAAAGAGAAGAACTCCTGGAAAAGGTAATTCTTTATGTTTTTACTATCATTAGTTTCTGAATCAACAATTTGGCTGAGATTTCATATCATTTGTAGGCTGAGTTCATGAAGAAGAAATTACCTTGGCTGACATATGATATGAAGAAGGCCGAATATGTGGAAGCTAAAGAGCAAGCAAATGATGCAAAGAAGAAGCTGGATGAAGCTGCCAAGTCTTTGAATAAACTTATGGAACCTATTGAGTATGTCGACTTGCTTGAACTAAATGAATCATGTTATTTAATATTTCATGTACGGGTGGTTAAAATTCGGCTTAGTAACCTTAAGGTTGTGGGTTAGAATATGAGGGTAATCACTTTATGCAAATAATGTCAAAGGTTAGGTCTGTATTCAATCTACCCCTCCTAGATTAAACTGGATGTTATTATTGTTGTTGTTATTATTAGGGTTGGTTTTCTTACCCCCTTGTGGTTGAACTGGTAATACCTCACCCCTCATGCTTAAAAAATTCACATAAGCATCATGTGGTTTTTGATTAAAAAGAACATTCGACAGTGTTAACCGCAATGACAAAAGGATATTTTTACCCTTGCCATCCTCCACTTTGCCTTCTTATTCTCTTTCTGTTGCCTCTTCCATCTCTCTACTCTGTTCTAAAACCAGTCAACTCCAAAATCATGTCACCATGAACACCTAACATACCACACAACCACAAAATCATGTTCTAAAACCAGTCATTGGCAAAAACACACATTGCCACCACCACTGCACACGTCCACAGCTACCATAGCCCATACACATTTCAAATTAGATAGAAAACACGAGGTTCAGATTCGAGGCCAGATTAGAAGACAACAGAAGACCACACAAACCACGGTATCACCACTATTAAGTTTGGAAGATTAACATAATATTAGAGACAATATTTAGGGAGAAACAGAGAGAGGTAAAACTTAATCTAGCTCTCATACATCACTTGTATTTATAGTTAACTCACAATAATAAAAATTATACATAAACTCTCTTACTATTAATAATTTACACATACTACCCTATTATTCTTAACAACCACCAATCAATACCTGGGTACACAACCCATTCAGATGAAACCCATATTGATTCATATGTTAAAAAGCTACAAAAAACTTGTGAAGAACCACCATACCCACCGTCGAACCACCACATCAAATCGTCTTTCTCTTTCTGTTCCTCTTCCTCTTCATTTGCCCATCACNTGTGAAGAACCACCATACCCACCGTCGAACCACCACATCAAATCGTCTTTCTCTTTCTGTTCCTCTTCCTCTTCATTTGCCCATCACAAGTCAAGACCATGAACGTTGTTGCTTAGTCCCCAAAATTTGGAGCACTTAAAATCAGGATCGATGATTTTCTTAATCGACTTTAGAAATTAGGAAATTGAAAATCGATAGATTTCGAATAAGAGAGAGGGGTTGTGCCAGAATCAAGCTAAACCAGTCCAAGAAAAACAAAAGAAGAGAAATGCGTTGGAGAGCAGAACCAGTCCAACAAAGAACAAAAGAGGAAGAGAGAGAGGTCGAAGATGGGTATTGGTTGTAGGGATGGGGGAGCTGGTTTTAGGGATGGGATTATGGTGTGGGGAAGTGGGTGTTGTGGGTTGTAGGGTGGGAGAGGGGGATACGGGGATGGCTCTGTTTGATGATTTGATTTTTGCATTAATAAGAGTTCAGAGAAATTGGGAGAAGTAGATGAATACCTTAGGGGAATTTTGTGCTTTTATATTTAAATTTGACTTCAACTATTTTTTTTTTTTGCATTCCTACTCATAAAATTGGTGCACGTAGCACAATTTCCATTAATTTGGACGGGAATGCTAACCGTAGCACTTTTAGTTCAAAAGTTATGTGGTTGTTTTTAATCATAGGCGGGTGAATTGCTATACTGCCAAACCACAAGGGGGTAAAATGTAGTTAACCCTTATTTTTCTTGTTTTTACTATTATACATGAATTTAAACACACTTATGAAGATACTCGGCCACTGGGCCCTGTTAGAGTTGTCTAATTTTACCCTATCTGTTAACTTGTGTGAAGTGTATAATTAATTTAATAAGGTTGTGGAATATTATTCATTTGGTTGGATGATTTGTCCACTTTTGATTGGTTTTTGTACCACTGTTATTATTCCAATTATTAATAAAATTGGTGTTCTATATCGAAAAAAAGGTTGTGGAATATTATTATATTTAGGCTGAAAATGATCAAGAGGGTACACATTCCTTTCTTAATTTCCAAACTTTTTGAAGGGTTGTTCGGTACCCAGGTTGTGATTGTTAATTTTCCATTAGAGCGTTCTATTTTTTTTATTTCATGGAATTTTCCTTTGTCATTTGGTCAATGCGATATTTGACATTTAACAAAATAAATGGCTGTAGGAAACAGAAGCAAGAAAAAGCAATAGAGGATGCCCAATGTAAAAGTGTAAGAGGTCTCTTAGATAGCAATGGCAAGAAACGTATGCAACTTATGGAGAATGAAAATCGTTTGGTATGCTGTTCTCAGTGATTTTACTTGCTGGATTCTGTTGCATGTATTTGATAGCTTCCAAATTTTTTTTTATGTCTTTATAGGAAGTCCAACTGCGTGGAAAATATCATGAAATGGAAGAGTTGAGGCGGCAAGAAGAATCACGTCAAGAAAGGATCGCTAGAGCTAAGGACAATGTTGTTGCGGCTGAACTGGAATTTGAAAACCTGCCTCCTTATGAACCTCCCAGGGAGGAAATTGTAGGTTATACTTTGTTTTGTATATTTTGAGTTACTTTTGGAAATGCCATGGGTTGCGGGTGAACTTGCTAATAGATATTCAAACCTGAGGTCACCTTATTATTTGTAGTCTTAAATTGTGGGATAGGTGAAAATTTATAAACTATTTGAGTAGCCATTACCAAAAGCAAGGAGTTCCAGATTTAACTTACTTTATTATTTTTTTTCAAATTAATAGTGCTAAATTGGCATATTTCTACCAACGACTACACTGTTAGTGAAGGGATATATGATAAACATTAGGATACAGATATTTTGATGGATATATTAACATCACAAGCTTCAGTTTAAATTTACATTCTGTATGCAATACAATTATTGTTTGACATGTGAGTTATGGGTATATCGCATGCATTGCATGAGCGTTCCCTATGTTGCAATATATCCCCCTGCAATTTGATATTTCGGAAATTTTTTTGATTTGTGGGCAATGTATCCTTGTGCGATATTTATTGTGCAAAATACTGCAGTAGTTAACAGAAGGGAAAACCATATGTATAGGACTTCTTTTTTGGATCAGCTATCTTTTGTTTGAATGGGTTTTAACTGGAATTTTCAGTGACAGTTGCTTTCTTGGGTTGTGGGTCTCATTTGTCCTATTCTTGTTAAGGATGAATTAAGTTGTTTTAGGAACTTTATAGCTGGAAATTAGTTTCAGAAGTTGTCCCCTTCATTCTATGCTGACCCCAGCGCGGGCTGGCTTTTTGGGAAGCCTGTTCTCACCACACTCACTCCCCGGCTGGCTTTTTGGGAAGCTTATTCTCACCACACTCACGCCCCAGGTGGCCTCAGCGGTAGTGGGAATTCTTCTGTTCCCTGGTCAAAGGCTTGGTTGGATGTGGGATCTACTCCACAAGGAGTGGTGTGGATGTAGATGATTTCATAACGACCTCTCTTTTCGTAATACTAGGGATGCAGATGCTTAACTCCACTTCGCCAACTGGCATTACTTGTGCTTTCGTGTCTCTCAGTGTGGTCAGCATTGGGTGTTCCTGAGCAGCAAGGCTTACACCCATTCGCATTAGTTTTATATATTAAGTTTTTTTGTGGTTAGAGTTTCTTAATTCTTGGAGTCCTACTTTGACTTGTTTGGGTGTCTTTCTGGAGATGCTGTCTAGCCCATTAGTGCCTTGGAGAATTTCTATCTTGATGTAATTTGAGTCCTACTTTGATTCAATACTTAGTGGGCCAAGTTTAGAAGGTTTATGAGTCATTGGGGAATTCTGGTATCTATAAATGGGGTCTTTGCTATAAAATGGGCTTAGACTTAATGAATTGGTATTTCTTTGTTATGAACGCGTATGGAGCTCTTCTATTCATTTGCCTGTGGATTTCGAAGAAATCCTCATGGAGTGGGGTATTTTTCTCTGCTTTCTTCTTAATTTTTTGACTATTTTTCTATCACAGGGTTGTTTCTTTTTACACTCTGAACCAAAAACTTCATTGGTTACCATGGCCTGGCAACTAGTATTCATTGCCTTTGGATGTCTCATTAACATAATGACACGCGGTTTGGGAAAATTTGATTCTTAGACATTGCTTACTGACCTTTTTCACTGTTAATTCGTTTACTCTGATTAAGAAATCAATGCTATTTCCAGGAAAACTTAGGTGCTCAGATTCTGGAGCTGGAAGAGACTGCAAGGGAAAAAAGATCACAGAAGTCAGAAAAGGAAAAACTGCTAACTCAAAACAAAGTAATACTAAGACAATGCGTGGACAGGTAAAGATGATACTAAAACTGATGATTCTTTTCATATGTCTTCTTAACAGTAAGTTAATACTTCTCACCAAACCCTTGTGTAAGCCGTTTGCAGGTTGAAAGATATGGAGAGTACGAATAATAAACGCTTACAAGCATTACGTAATTCTGGAGCTGAAAAGATATTTGAGGCATATTACTGGGTGCAAGAACATCGCCACGAGTTTAATAAGGAGGTGTACGGTCCTGTCTTGATTGAGGTGCCCATAGTATATGGATGTTTTCATTGATTAAATTAATTTGTGCCATTTATCATTGAGTAAATTGTTGGACTGGAAACTCAGGTTAATGTCTCAAATCGGATTCACGCAGACTACTTGGAAGGTCATGTTCCTTATTACATATGGAAGGTATTATCATTTGTTGATGCTTTATTTAGCCTCTGTTCTTGTAAGTTTGTTTGCTGGAGTGGAAGAAACTTAGAATTTTTTATGGGTTATTGCTCGATGCAATGGTTAGAGACAGGGTTTCATGCGGGAGGATGCAAGGTTCGAGTTATCTGGATTGAACTTTGAACAATACATGAAATTTAGGTTTTTACGGTGATTAAATATCATATTTTGCTTATATAATTGAGATTATTGTAAGAACAATTGTTTGTCAAAAAGAGATTAATTTTACTTTTACTAGTAATAGCCACTCAAAATTAAGTGGTGTGATTATTTTTTTTGATAAGAAACAAGATGTTCATTGATTGGTGGCAAAGGGTACAAAGAGTACGAAGTAGTGGACAAGTAATCGATCTATACAAGAGAATAAAATCAAGTACATTGAAAAGGTTGTGTTAGAGTTCTTAGTTTTTGTATTAGTCATGTTTAAATTAGTATAGGGTAATATTGTAATTCTCTTCTTCTCTTCCTCTTTAGCATTCTCTCTACTAAACCCTAACATAAAGTATACAATTTAACTTGGTATCAGAGCACTAATTCGACAACTAAAATATTTATAGAGGACATCGTAGAAGACTTAATGTTATTTTCTTGTTCTTGACATTGCTAACAGTGATGACTTCATGCTGACATCATCTTTGTACGTACACCAAAACTCATCCCAAGGCTCGATTTTCCATGGTGATAATTGTGGTAATTTTTGTTTATTTTTTAGAAGCCATCTGAATAGGGTTTGCTATTTTTGAATGATTTCCGAAAAATTGGGTTGAATTTGTCAATCTGATTTCGGCCAGCTTTGGGTTTTCTTTTGGTTCGATCTGCACCAGATAGGTGCAAATCTACCTTGGGTATGTTGCTGGAGGTTGCCCAGTGGATTTTGATTGTTTTTTGGTGGTTCTTGTGGTCTCGGCACTGTAAGAGGCTGTTCAGGCTTGGGTTTCTGCAGCGATTTTGGTTTTTGGCTCGATTAGGTGTGCTAGTTGATCTGTGAGTTGCATAGCTTGTTTTTTGGGTTGATTTGGAGGTGCTTCAGTAGCAAAACAGTGCCGATAACACTGTTTTTCCACTTGAATAGTGCTCCCCTGTTGCTGATTATTGTTATTTTGTTTTTTTTGGCCTTGGTGGGCTGTTTGGATTTAGATTTATTGATGTGTCACTGAAGTTGTTGAAGCCCATTGATCTGATTTGTGCTGACTAGTTAATGCTATCTCATTGGTGGCTCTTGTTTCTTGACACTGTGCTGCATGGATCTTTTGATGATTTGCTGGGATGTTGTTTTCCTTGGTATACCGGGTCACTGATTTATTATTTTTTTTTCTAGTTTCTCCCCTTGTTGCTTGCTGGTTTTCGTTGTGTGTGTCCTGTTTCTTGTGGTTTGCTGTTCAACAGTGCATCAACCTCTGGCCATTCAACCGACGTGGAAATTGGTTTGTTGTTGTGGGCTGGTTTGTGGTGGACCTTGTTTTGGGTTGCTCTTGAAAAAGTTGCTTTGCTTCAGAAATTATTGGGCCGGACTTTTGTTGAGCTGTTTGCTGGCTATGTGTTGGGCTGTTTTTTTTTATTGGCTGGATTCTTGGATTTAGTAGCTTGTTGGACTGTTATCTTGCCGAAACCATTGTTTTTTGATGCTGGACAGATTGCCGACTGATTCTGAGTTTGCTGGATTGATCCGTTTTGATTGGATCTGGTCTGGGTGTGTTCGATTTGGTTTAGATATGATTGATTTGGGTGGTCAGGGCTATGGTGTTTCCTGGGGTGGACGTAATGGTGGTCATTGTGGTGGTAGAGGCCCGGGGGCCCGTGGTAGTTGTAGTGGACGTGGACATTGCTATGCGTGGAAATGTTCTTATAGTGGATTCACTGGCTACACTGATGATTACTGTTGGGACAAGTATGGGCGACCAACCTATGCTAAGCTGGCATTTGATGACTTAGCTCCACCTGTATCTCCGATCTCTACTATTGCATCTATTGGACCTACATTTGGTTCGCCTGATGCCCTTACTTCTCAGCTTCGTAGCTTCTTCAGTAGTTATCCTCATTTTCTCCTCAATCACCTACTTCAGTTGTTGGTTTGGCTACTGAAGGTAATTTTGCACATGTGGCAGCACAATCAACTTCACCACCTTGGATTATTGATTTAGGAGCTAATGCTCACATGTCTAAGTATTTCTTCTATGTTTTCTAACTTCCGTTCTTCTAACTTTCTTATTGTATTAGCCGATGGTTCTTTTAGACAAATACGTGGGATTGATGATCTTCATCTTATCACATCCATGTCATTAACATCTGGTTTATTTGTCCCTCAGTTTCTCTTTAATTTGTTATCTGTGAGTCAATTAACCAAGTCTTTATAGTGTTCAATGATTTTTTCTCTATTTTCATGTGTTTTTCATGACCTCCAGATGAAGAAGTTGATTGGTTTGGGGCATGAGCAAAATGTACTTTACTATTTGGATTTTAGAGCAGTAGTTCCTGCATTTAGTCTATTGTGTCTCCTCTTTGATGGCACTTCCGACTGGGTCATTCTTTATTGCAAAAGTTACGACAAGTTATTTCTAGTTTGAGTCCTTCTGTGTTAAAATGTGAAGCTTATCAATTAGGCAAAATCATCGTGGTTTCTTTCCTCGTAGTTCTTCAAGTTGTCAGTCAAGTCCATTTCATATTGTTCATATCGATATTTGGGGTTCCGCAAGAGTCAAAAGTGTTTATAGGTTTCAGTATTTTATGATATTTGTTAATGATTTCTCTCATATGATTTGGTTATTTCTTATGAAAGATTGATCTGAATTACCCAAAGCCTTTACCACTTTTTATAATGAAATTCTGACTCAGTTTGATGTTTGTATTAAAGTTCTTTGCTGTGATAATGCCCTTGAGTATACTCAATCTTTTATGAAAATCTTTTGTGCTGCCTGTGGCATTATCCATAAAACCACCGGTCTTCATACTTTCCAATAAAATGGTGTTATCAAACATATGCATCGCTAGATGTTAGGCACCATATTGGGCTTATGTTGTTCTCATTGCAGTCTATCTTATTAATCGGATGCCTTCTCCTATCTTAGGTAACAAAGCTCCATTTTTTTTTGCTATATCCCAATACTTCGCCTTTTGGTTTAACTCCTTAGGTATTTGGTTATGTTGCATTTGTTCACCTTCTTAGCCTTGGTATCGTTCACCTTGTTCGGTTAAGTCATCTTTCTAGAATACTTTCGTACTTAGAAAGGTTATCGTTGTTATGATCTTCTCTCTCGCAGGTGTTATGTTAGTGGCGATGTCACCTTGTTTGAGTCAACTTCTTTCTTTTTTAATACAAGAACTACTATTTCATTAGATTTGATCTCTACTAGTCAGGGGGAGCTGAAATTGTCTCTTGTACCTAACGGTGTATCTTTTTCCTCTTCGATTACTGACCCTATTTTACGGGTTTATTGTCGTTCCATATGCTTTAGCTCCCTAACCAATACCTGTTTCTACTGAGATCCTTTCTCCTTAGTCGCCTAATTTTTTGCCTATTGCATTACGGAAAGGTACTCATACTTGTACCCAACTTTCTATTTCTAATTTTGTCTCTTTACATTAACTTTTCTCTTCATTTCGTTGTTTTGCATTCGCCTTGTCTTTTTTCCTTGTTCCTAGTTCTTTGAAACATGCATTAACATCTGTTGGATGAAAACTGAGTATAGATGAAGAAATTAAGGAACTTCATGAAAATCTTATTTGGGACTTTACTTCTCTTCCATCTAGTAAACAACATGTTAGTTGTCATTGGGTGTACACTGTAAAATATCATTCTGACGGTTCTGTTGAGTGGTTGAAGTCACGGTTGGTTGCTAAAGGTTATATTCAAGCTTGTGGTGTGGATTATAGTGGGACATTTTCCCATTTGCTTGTCTTAATTTTATTAGAATTCTTCTTTGTATTGCGGTTAGTTTTGGCTGACCTTTATATTAGCTAGACATAAAGAATGCATTCTTACATGGAGATCTACAAGAGGAGGTATATATGACCCAACTTCCAGGGTCTGTTATTTCATGCCAAGTACAATTAGTGTGTCGTTTGAAGAAGTCACTATATGGCTTGAAATAGTCACCATGTGCCTAGTTTGATAAGTTCAGTACCGTGATACTTCAGTTTGGTTTTTAACCCTCTGCCTTTGATCATTCAGTTTTCATTCATAGGTCTTCTACAAGTTTTATTATTGTTATTATGTATATCATTGACATTATCATTAGTGAGAATGACGCATATGGTATTGCTCACTTCAAGGCCTATTTAGGAAAATAATTTCATACTAAAGATTTAAGTCTTCCTCGGTACTTCATAGGGATTGAGGTTGTTTGTTCAAAGGAGGGTATCAGTTTATGCCAACGAAAGTATGTACTAGACTTACTGTCTGAAACAGGTACTCTTTAGGACAATATCGATGATTAGGTGGTAAACTAATTTATCTTACAGTTACACGTCCTGATATCACATATGCTGTTGGGGTTGTTAGTCATTACATGCATGCCTCTCGTAAGCCTCATTGGGATGCTGTCTTTCATATACTTCAGTACATGAAAGGGCTTCGGAATGTTTATTATATCTTTCATCATCATGCATAACTGTTGTTGGTTTTTCTGACGCCAATTGGGTAGGTAGTCATAGTGATAGACGATCTACGTCTGGGTATTGCACAATTGTTGGCTGTAATTTGGTTACTTGGTGCAAGAAGAAGCAGAATGTGGTTGCTCGTTCCAGTGTAGAGGCTGAGTATCGTGCTATGACACATATTGTTTGTGAGATGCTATGAGTCCGTTCTCTACTCCGTGATATGAGACTTGATGTGTCTTCTCCTATGAAGATGCACGGTGACAAGTAGCTATTTTCATTGCAAATAATCTAGTCTGTCATGAGCATACTAAACACATTGCAGTGGATTGCCATTTTATTTGAGATCTCTTGATGCGGAAGGATATCATTACCCTATATATTAATTTTGGTGATCAATCAGGTGAAATTTTTGCCAAGCCATTAGCTCTGTCGTCCAGTAGTAGTTTATGTTTTAAGTTGGACATTTTTTATCCTTATGCTCCAACTTTAGGGGGAGTGTTAGAGTTCTTAGTTTTTGTATTAGTAATGTTTAAATTAGTAAGGTGTAATATTGTAATTACCTTAATTGTTTCTCNTTATGCTCCAACTTTAGGGGGAGTGTTAGAGTTCTTAGTTTTTGTATTAGTAATGTTTAAATTAGTAAGGTGTAATATTGTAATTACCTTAATTGTTTCTCTACTATAAATAAAAAGGTGTATGACAATTCAGTATATACACCAACTAGTCATAACCTGTGCCTGAAGCAACGATAAAACGTAAAATTTAAGTGCCAANTCTACTATAAATAAAAAGGTGTATGACAATTCAGTATATACACCAACTAGTCATAATCTGTGCCTGAAGCAACGATAAAACGTAAAATTCAAGTGCCAAAAAAAAAAGTTGTTCACACTTATTAAATTTTTTCAACATGTGTATCCTACCATCTATGAAAAATGTTTAAAATAAAAATTATGTTAAATTATAAATTAATCAAATATTAAATGATTGAACATGTGATAGAGATAAGTGATGTGATGTTTTTAGAGGAAAAAATATATAAAGGATAAAAATTTAAATTGCTATTTGTTTTATTATATAAATTATTCCTTGCAATCTCTTTTCTTCTCTTCCTTTTTCTCACTCTCTACTAAACCCTAACATAAAGTATACAATCTACTTGGTTGCATAACTTTTGAACTAAAATAGCCTTTCATCTAGCTAAATGCAGCTATTCAATCAAGACTAAGCAAAAAAAATGGGACACCTTTAAATTCATTTGTGGTCGAGGTTCAAAGAGATGCCAAAAATTTAACTCTATCCGAAAGAAAGTCCACATCTTCTTCATTTTCTTGAAAATATGTTGTTTCTTTCCAACCAAACCACCCAGAAAATTGCCATAATCGCACATTTTCACTATTTTTTTTGCACAGAATGCACCACTGAGGAGAAAGACAAGAAATTGGTCTTCTCCTGTTCAACTCGCAAGTATTAAGCTTTCCATAAGCTACAATCCAAGTAAAAACCTAATTTGAACAACTACCATTTGAGTTCTTAAAATTCCTACATTCAGCTTTCTAATTTGAATTCTTACTATAAGCTGATCCACTCTCGCAAAAGCTGTGGTCCTCCCATGGAAAATGCTTTGATACAAGTATCGAGGCACTTTTTCCCAAATCTAATTCCTCCTTTTCCTTGGAAGCTTTCCATTAGCTCTGAACAATGTCGTTTTTGCCCTCGCTATTTTAGAAAGGACACTTTCAAGC